GTATTGTAGACGGGCCTTAAATGCACACGCACAAGAGTAAGTAAAAGTAAGATGGCAGCCACCAAGAACAAGTAAGTATGTAGGATTCCCAACGCATATAAATATAAAAACCGATAAATTTCTCGCGATACTGATTACCGGACAGTTAATTTATTCCTATCTTTATTTATAGATTGGAGAATTGCGAGGTATGCGGCGCGGCTAAGGCGCGATACACCTGCCCGAAATGTGAGGTTAGAACATGCTCTCTCGCGTGCGTGAATGTTCATAAAAAGGAGCTAGAATGTGATGGAATCCGGGATCAGACCAAGTTTGTCCCTTTAGCGTCGTTTACCGACTTAGATTTACTGAGCGGTAAGAAAACAGACTCCTTTCTCTATTTAAGTTGCCCGAGACATTTCAAAATTTAAAATAACACTTGTTCTTTTCCAGACTATCGCTTTCTCGAGCAAGTTGGCAGATCAATTGATACAAAGAAGAGAAATCCAGAGATAAAATACACCCGTCAAGCTATTCTACCAGTGGTACGATATTCTCATTTTTGCATATATTTTTTTAAAATGCCACAAAGTCGCAATGTCTTCTCTTACAGCACCTACATAAATTGAGATGCGCTGCGTCCTATAGAAAAGTGTCACTGTTATATATGCCACAAGTTTTCAGTCGGCACAAGAAGAACACTACGTACCTTAACTGGAAGACCAACGAGCTATTCTGGCGTCTAGAATGGATTTTTCCACAAGCTGAAAACATAAAGTACACAATAGAGAGGTACATAAATATATGTGTCATTTCTAAATAGTTTTGAAGAAGTGAATAATACATTATTATGTTTATTATAGAGCCCTAGACAGAATAAGATTATCAACATTGGTGGAACAGGTTTTAGATCCAGTCTCTGCAACAGATGAGACTGACATAGAAAATTTGAATACAAAACTATTTTTAGCTGATAAATTACAATTTTACAGAGCAGCTGGGTTAACTAATATCAAAGTTCTTTTAAAAGCTGAGAAAATAAAGAAGGCACAGCTCAGGTAAATGTTTCTTTGTTTTCTAGTCTTATGATTAAAGCACTTAATTAATTATAATATATTATTTTTAGATTTTATGATTTGGATCTTACGCTTACGTTGCAAGAAAATTTGGAGAATAAGACTATAGTTGAGTTTCCGACATTGCATGTTGTTATGAAAGATCACTCGAATATGTACGATATTATAGATACTGGTAAATATTATGCATTACAACCATTACAATGCTATCAATGTTGTCATAAATCAGTACATTATATACATATTTTCTAGATGAAGAAATGAGTGATACAGAGTGTACAAATTATGGAGAAAAGAAAAGATACAACAATAACAGGCCCGATGATAACAAAAAAGATGAACCAGTAAACTATTTCTTCAATGATTTTTCGGATTCTGATGATGAGAATACAGACAATAAAGTAAAAAAGAAGAAAGGATCGCTTAATATACCAAATTACGAAGAGTTAATAAAAATGTAAAAATTATGTCCATTATTATAAATATTGACTTATATATGGATATTTTTATTGTAAATACATTATAGTTTTAATACAGATGAAATACAAATGTAGCAACATTAATGACGTGTATGATCGTCTATAATACATTTTTTTCTTAATTGGTTCCTTTTCCACATATACTGATGATACATATATCTGCACACCACCCAAAAATACAACTGCACTCAAATAATATATATCTTTTTAAATTTATACTAACTCAGGACTCTCTTTACAGAGGAACTTTACAAAATGTATAATTCAACAAAGATATAAATACAATCCATAAGTACAAGGAATGATAAATACAATTTTTTATCAGTGAAAAAATTCATGGTATCTCTACTAAAAAAATTTTTATTCCAGTTGATATTGTAGAGATAATTTATTTTTCATTGTTACAACAAACTACGAAAATAAATAAATCATACAAATGTTTGTTATATGTTTTTAAAATGATGGCATATTGTATATAGTTTTTATGTAGAAATTACTAAATCCCTTCCATAAGGTTATTAGAACGAGTCAATGAAAATATTATAATAAAAAATTATACCTATTCATTTTTATGTAACAAACAATTTTATCACTGAGCAACGCTAAAAAATCATTGAATATTTTGTTATATACTATTTTTTTATAAACATAATTTTTACATGGATCGGTTTAAATATATCAATAAAATATAATTACATTTTCGCAATTTTTATCTTGTATATGAAAGTTTTCATTTTCCACTTCTATAAATATAAATGGATGTTGGAATCACACAAATACTCCGCAATTATGAGAGATAAACAAAAATATCCTATCTTTGAAAATGGAATACCTTTGACGTATAATATTGAAGTTTTTTATTCGTGTTGTTTAACTAAAGAATGAAGAAATATAACAAAAAGACCAAAAATGCAACAAGACCTGCAACAGCTTTCACGTACATCGATTTGCTGTTTAGATGTCTCGCGTCTTTTTTATACTTTTGTGACAACATAGACAAGTTTTGGGTCTTCGAATCCAATTCTATAAAATACAAATAATATTTTAGTACATTTCTTTTAGTAAATTTCTACATTTCTAGCTTTTTACACAAACAGAATAGTTCTACATTACCTGAAAGTACGGTACCCCTTTGTAAAACATCATCGATATTTTGTACCATGATTCTTTGCACATCTTGCAACTGGCTGTTAAGCGTGTTCAAGTTTCTGCGAGATCTACTATCCATAAAGATCTTCTTGGCTTTCTGAATGTACGTATCTGAGAAACAAACAATGTTAAGCCAATGTAATGTATTCAATAAGATGTTAACATTCACAGTCATCTATAGCGTACCAAATTCAATAAAGGTATAAGGCCTGGTCACTGTATTTACACGTTTTCCATACTGAGAATGAAACTCTTGTGCTATATCTTCCAAATAGCTGTAAGCTATGCGTGTGCTGTAATTCCTTTCGCATAATACCAGATAACACACCTCATTTTCGATTAAATAACTATAAACAAAATACAATATATACAACTGTTTCAAAATACATAGATCAAAGTTGCTAAGCACGTGTTTAGATTCTCTATTTGAGGCCCTATGTATCATTTTGATTTCTTAATTTTTATTACAACATGACAAAGTTACAAAATCATTTTATTTCACTTTAATAGTCAATTAATAAGGATGTTACATGAGGCACTCAGATGGAGAATTCAAATACAGCCCAACTATCACTTACTGGAAAAGATATGGTCCGGTTTCGATGGTACACTTTGTCGGAGACTGTGGACCTAGCTTTCTGAATAGCATCTTTGCTTGATTTTGATATTCCACAATATTCTTACCATCCTATGGCACAGAACAGAACATAACTTCCATAATAAAATATATAAAGATACATAAATAAATTATATAAATATATATAAACATAAACAAGTCTAATAAAATACGAGTAAACAGATGTTAGTCTAAATATTGATTTGCTCCAAAAATTTAAATTTTTCTGCCATTTCCACTAATGTAGATTTACTTGAATCTCTGTTCAATTCATTCTTCGTCTTTTTCTAGATATAAAAATTAACAAAAGATGAAAAGTAAGTTGGAACAAAATTAAAGTTAATTACATTGGTGGAAACACAGTTATTTTAACAAATAAGTTTCATGATCTCTTCTCCCACATTGTCGGTAATAAGACTTCCGTCGACGCATCGAGTTAATTGCAGAAGTAAAGTGTGACGGTTAATAGTAAGAAAGAGGTGACGTTTCATCATAGCATACGTCTAACCTGCTCGTTGTCCTGCATGGTGGCCGCCAGTGGCAGGGACGTCTGCCACCCTCGCGATTATCGTGAACAGGACCATTCTATCGAGGATCTATTCACCGATCTCGTCTGGAATGAGCGAGGAGAAGAATTAATCGCACAATCGTCGCGCTGCTTCGCGACTTCAACGTCCGAAGACCATTCGCGCGTAACTGGTCGCCGATGTGGCCACCGCGCGTCCACTCCCGACCCACCACGTCAGTCGATCCGCTCGATCTGCGCGCCGATCGCTCGGCCAACGATCGCTTATCCGCCGAGTGCGAGTGGGTACCGAACGCTTTGCGTTACCACCGGCAGCCGACGTAAGAGTCGGTGTCGTCGGTGGGCGCATCGCGAAGGGATCAAATGCACGAGTCCTGTTTTTTATTCCTGCACCAAACCGCACCAGAATTCTTTTTCTCGCTTTTGTCAAATATCTAACACATACCTATCCTACTTTAAGTTCCAAAAGTGTACCCTAGCTACAGAAAACGGACCTACGTATGCGAGTGCGCGTGCACGCGACGTTCGCGCACTCGTCTCGCGCAGGAAATTTAATTCGCCGCAAGTCGCAAGGAAATGTCGAAGCGCGCGTTTTCGCGGCGAACGATTGCCCGCTGCTGTCGCGTAATCGTGAGAATTCGTCTCCCTTCCTGAGGAAATAAAGGGAATTTCTTAATTGAAAAATATACCGTTGGTGTGTCGCGTTTCAATTGACCGGCGCGCGGCAGCCGCCATCTCGCACGCGCAATCGGCGTGGCGCGACGCTCGGCTTCCGGCCTCGGCTTTTGACGTTCGTCCCGGTTCCGCTCGCGTGGAAAGTCGTCGTGGTTGAACGGAACGGGGAGTCGGGGGAGAGAAAGAATCCGTGACGTGCTCGGCCGCGAGTCGTGTTTGCCTCTCTCGCGCGTTCTGTCTCTCTCTCTCCCTCTCTCTTTCTGTGAGTCTATCTTACTTTCTCGTATACGTTGAAATGTCCGCGTACTCCTAAGATTGAGTGTCCGCGCGCGGTTATCGACATCGACCTCGACGACGAGGACGAGGACGTTTGCTCCGCTGTAAGAAGAAACCTGCAGAAGTGACTGGTGGCGGCAACGGCCAATAATGCGCATACCGGACGCGTGGAAACGGCAACGCGAGCGACGATAGCTTTAGGTGAGTGAACGCGTATGCGAATGTCGACGGTCGATTCTCCCCGCGCCGTCGACTCTCACAGCTGGTCACCTGAACCCTGCGATCTCGCCGCGTTCCCCGGACGGCGACGGCCAGGAAGACACCCTGCCACGTCCGCGATTACATAATTATGTTAAACGAGCGCCTCCGCACCGTCGGGGCTGAGATTCCTCGGCTGGTGGGGCTCCTTATCGGATGACCGAAAGCCCTCCTTTCGCGCTCGCCAAGGTTTACGAAACAATCTTATTGCGTTTACTTGGGATCGCTTTCGTTGCGCATTCGTTTTCCTTTTCTTCCTTCGACGATACGACGTGCTGAAAAATCTTCGGAAATCGTCCAGTACCACCAAAACTTACGGCTAATGACCTATTTATAATTCACATCTGTGTACTAAGGCTGTCAGTGTTGCAATGACAAGCGTTTTCCTCAGATTCGACGTGTTAAACATTAATGTTTTGATGATAAATTTTTCTTCTTCAGGTGGTTACATGACAGCGAAAATTATTCTTGATTTATTGTCAATCGTGTAAAAGTGACGTATGTATACTGAATATGCATGATAGAATTATATAAAGACGTTTTGTCACTCTGAAACTTTTAAGAGTGAATCTTGCTGTGAAGAGTAAAGTCTTACTCTAAAAATTTTATTAATTGAGTTATTTCTGAAAATTGAGTTGTTCTTTTTTAAGACTGATTAAATTTTCACTCTTTAGAGTGAGATTACACTCCAAAGAATTTAGGGAGCATACTTTTGCAATTTTTACTTGATCTGCTGTCTTTGTTAAATCTTCATTCGAGATATGTCACCGCATGTGTGTTATATTTTGTATCATTTATATTTATTACAGATCTCAAAGATTGCTGTAAATCAGGCTGCAAAGTCCTGCAGGCAGCATGAACGTAAGTATACGTTGGGTGCTTTACAAGTCATGAGTTGTAGCAACAGAATAAGTGATTTAGATGTTAAAATAATTTAATTGCAATTATAGAATCCTTATCGAGCTAGACCTGCCAGATCTCGGGTGGATCATTCAGCTACGTATGGTATGCACAACCAAAATATGTGGATGCCTATGTCTAGGCCTCAATCGAATGTCCCGCCGAATGATACCACCCAGCAGTCTCTTGTGAACCAGTCAAAACATGCGAACGATACATGGAAGGATCCCTGGGACTGGAATCTGGACCAACAGTCGGATACCCAACAGCAGCAATCATCACCGCAGCAACCACCATCGCAGCAACAGCAACAGCATTACATACCCTCGTATCAGAATCAAGGACAGCTGATATCTGGTTCTGTGCAAAACCATTATTACAAAAATCTCAATGGTAATACATCCGATGTACTTAACCAGAACTCCGTGTCAGACAGAAACACTCCCAGGTCGGAGCCTGCTCGTCAGACTGGGTCAAATTATACGGATTCTTTCCCGCCCTACGCGAACTATAATCAAAATCAGCAGTATCCATTACCGCCTCGACAGAACAACGCGAAATCCAGTTATGAGCATGCTCAATGGCCGAACGAGCATCAGTCGTCGAATGCAGCTTATACTCAGCAAAGACTCGTGCCACAACAGAGCCAGAAGGAACAATCACCATTACATCCACCATCGACACACCCACCATCAACACATCCACCACCGACGCATAACAGTTATAACTGGAGCAAAGGCGACACAACAAACTTACCATTGCAACGTAATTGGCAGAATCATACCGATACTCTAGATCAGTGGCAGGATCAAAACATGTCGCAGGAAATGCAACAGCCAACAGTCGACAATATGGGTAATCAGTGTGCGCAATCATCACAAATATACAATGCGCCTATCGAGGGGGTCAATAAGGAACATTCCATGAACTGGTCTACCAATGAGCAACAGAGTAACGAAGCGGGTAATGTATCGAATCAGTGGCATAATCAAAATCGCGAGCCCCAACATCAATCCGCGCATTTATTACAAACAAATAACGTAGATGACACATTTGCTTCTTGGCCACAGTCGGGCAACATCAGTGCCTCGCACGATTGGAGACATTCTAACGTGCAAAACGAATCTGTACATTCTACGCAATGGTTACAGCCAACGAGTGCGGATAACAGTTCGTTAGCGCAGAACGTATCACAGAATAATAACAGCGTTAGGTTTGCTACAAACGAATGGCAACAAGTGCACATGGCGCCATTCCACTATGTTCCAGCATCTACAACTGTACCTACAAGCGTAGAAAATATTGTACATACACCTAATAATAATGAACAAGAGAACGAGAAGCAAGCAGCAGTAGTAGCTTCTATCGCAACTACTGTGTCACCTCACGATTCAATCAGTCATGCAAAATCGAGCGATATTAAGTCACCGATTGGAGATCACCATAATTTAAACGTACTGACTGATGATGCACCGAAAAATGATCTTTCTAAAACCGTTCTTAGCGAAAAAGATGACCGCTCTTTTGATTCTACAGCGGCAGAGGAATTAACCAGCAGTTTTGGTCACCTTAATCTTAGTGGCAAGTCGGGAAAACACGTGGATCTTTTGAGTGAATCGTTAGAGGTACATTCGAGCCCCGTTCTCCAAGAAGGGAGAGCTCAACATCCTGGTAATTTTAACGTTGCGAGTATCCGAGGCAATTCTATTCCCGATAATATGCCCGTGCTACCTTCGGATTACACGTCAAGCGGTATAGAGAATTCTCATTCTATCGATAGCCAACCAATTGTCGGTCAAGATCCTCTAATATCGAATACATATCAAAGTGGTGCTACTAAAATAGTAGATAGTACCTCGCAAAGCAGTTATGATCAATGGTACAATCAAAATACGTTAGAGAATGCATGGTATGCGAAGGATCACTCACGTCCACCTCCCAAACAGTGGAACACTCCTGAGCAGAATGTAGAAAACTACGAGAATATTCAACAATCATCCGACTTCATAAATGTCGAGGTTGTTGCACCTGCAACGTTGAAGGAGCGCGATATCTATGGTTCGCGAGATTCTATAAACAAGGAGACGTTGGACAACGATCCCAAGCCGAGCACGAGTCCCAAAGAAGTCCCAACGAATATTCGAGATTTCAGGGAGGAGGTGAACAACGTCGAAGTGCCATCGGTGCAGCAACAGCAGCAGCAAACTCGATCTCATCCACCTTTGACGGAACAAATGCCGGATAACTACGAATTCGCTTCGAATGATAGAAATACGTTTTTAGAGACTGGCGAGTTGACGGACTCACATCAGGAACACGAACCAACGCCACCGAGTCAGGATGATGAGAATGATGAAGTGCCTAACGATATTCCCTTCCTGCGCGAAGTACCGGGACAATCGAGTACTATAGATCCACGCAGGAACGATCCTACAGGTCAGGAACAAAGTATACAAGTTAGAAATATACCTGATCGAGCGGAGCGTCGTGACGTCCTTCCGGGACAAGAGAGAAATGTTCCTTTGTTATTACGAGGTGATACGGACACGCTAGAACGACGGAATGATCCTTCGGGTAGAGAACGTTCTCTTCCGCCGCAACAGCCCCTTCCATCGCGAAATGATCCATCAGGTGAAGAGAGATATCAGCTGCAGTCGCAGGTAATGATGGAGCCGAGTGAGACTCGTGAAGTGCTCGGCAGAGGCAACGAGCCCGACGAAGTTGCGCAGCAAACAGACGCGGAACGTAGACAGATACCAGGCGGAGCATCTTCCAACGACGTCACGCAGTTGTCGGACGACAGGACAACAGGTGGTAGAGTTGTTACTGGCTCTCCTCCGGAGGTTCCTCCACCGATGTCCGCGATGCAAGATCAGGCGAGTGAATCGCGAAATAAACGCGAGGAAGCGGTAGGTGCATCTTTGGAGAGCGAGAGCCAGGGCATCTCCAGCTCCTCGAATCGACGGGATTCCTATGAAGTCGAAGAAGATGAGGGATCTCGCAACAGTCGGGACGAAAGTAGGGAGAGACGACGAGAAACAAGTCCTGATCGCCGACGATACGAATATGACCGAAAGAACGCGTACTACGATCGTGATCGCGAATACGAGGACGATTATTATTACGAACGTCGACGCGCGGGCGACAATGATCGTCAGTATAGTGCCCGCGACGACTTCGAACGACGGGATGTTGCGTATCGGGAAGACGAACGTAAACATCACAGTCGCGACGACTTGGATCGACATGGTAGAGACGATATGGATAGAAGAATCAGGGGAAAAGAGGATCTAGATGAAAGGGACAGTAGGAGAAGACCAGATGATCGTAGAAGAGGCGATGATCCACGTCGTCGAGACAGAGATCCAAGAGATTATGATGCACGATATTCTAGAGATCCTAGGGATAGAGAATATATGGATCGTGAAAGGAGAAGGGACGATAGACGATCACGAAGATACGAAGATTACGATATTAGAGATCCGTATAGAAGGGACTATTACGATGATCCTTATGGAAGAAGGTATATTTATTTATTTATTTTTTTAATAATTTACTTGTTAATATATTAATTTATTGTATTTTACATTTATATTTACTCTTTTACAGTTCTAGGCCTTCAAGTAGATCTTCTTACAATGATAGAGACCGTGAATACTACATGCGTGCGAGAGACCCTTATTATGCATACAATGGTACGTGTGATGCAATATACAATTCAAATATTTAAAAGCAACATTCTTTTATGTAAAAGTAGCTATTAAATATATATTCGATTGCGAATGTGCAGGATACAGTGGATATGATTATAGTGCTCATTATGGTAACAATTATTACGCATATCTTGAAAACCTGCGTCGAACGAATCCTGCTGCCTATTCCGAGTGGTACCACAAATATTATGCAAACCAGCATCAACAACAGCATATTGCCAGAGGAGTCAGTAATTATCCGGAGGATAGAGCCAGTGTTCATTCTGGCCGTAGCTCCTGCGACGACAGGTATGCTCTAAAATTTTCATTTTAAAAAATTAAAAAAGTTCTTGAACAGTCAGTTTTGTTTCTTATCTCAGATTTTATAACATTCATTGTATGTCAGATTTTTTCCAATTCCAAGTGCATGTTTCCGTTCACCCAACAAGGCATTGTATATCCCACATTTTGGATATTCCGGATGGACCGGAAATCTGCGGGAGCGCAGTACGGTTTGTCGCAATTTTAATAGGTGAGACCGGGAGTCTTCTCTCGGTTCGAAATGTTTAAGCTAGATTTCTCTAAAATTTAATTCTCCCAGTATTTTAAAATTTCAATTATGGTATATACAATTTTGGTTAAATATATGTAGCATGTAGAAAATCTGTATAATTATTTGTAATAATTCATATCAAGCGTATATTATCATAACAATTATTTAATACAATAAAATATACAGTTACGACAGCAACTGTATAAAAGTATAGTAAAACTTCGTTTATCCTATCGAGGAATAGAATAGTTCCGATAACCGTATATAATTCGCATAATAAAGGCTTATTAGCTCTCCCCTCTATCAGTACCTATTAGTTCCGATAATAGAAGTTAACTTCACAGAAAACTGAAGTCGAACTCTTATTATCCGAACTATGGCGCCATTTCGGATAATGAGAGCTCAGTTATGAGTTCGTATATAAATAGAGTGCGGACAAACGGAATTCCAACATAATAGAAACATATGCAGAATTATTAAAAAAATACTTAATTTTGCTTATATTAAATTTATTGCAAAATTGAAGTGGAATATGCTTATTTTGTACATAATTATGTGTCTTCATAATGTTGTTCATATGTTCCATAATTCTTTAAAGATTCTCTATTAAAAGAAAGAATATTGTGTTTATTTCAGAACTACTGGTGATAAACGAACATTGGGTGATATGTCCTTAGAAGATACAATAATTACTTCTGCTCGATTGACGCCGACTAAATATTCCACGTCTCATGCATACGGTATAATTTCTGATATTAATTGAATTTGTTTCTTTTTTATTAATGTTTAATATCATTAAGGTAATTAAAAAAATTATTCTCTCATAGGTTGCTTTTCCATTGGATCTTTGATACATGTTCATCCAAGTTACCCAACTGATGGCGAAAGAGCTAAAGTGGATATTTTTCGCGTAGATAGCTTACTCTCGCATGATCCTGTTGCACGCGATTTACGATTATATCCAGGACCTCTAATTAAGTAAGTAAAATCATATAAAAGTATAATACAATACAGTAAAAAGTACAATTCAATACAAGTAATATATATAACGATGACTTGTTGCAGTGGTGTAACGCATAAAAAGACTATTATAGAATATTGCGAAAATAAAATTAAAAAGGCAATGATGAATGAAGAATTGATTGATCGTGCTTCATACATCTTGCTATACGAACTGATGATTATGTTAATTCAACAAAATGGAGTAAGTTTTTTTCATAAAAAAATAGTTTAAAATTGTTCAAATCAATTAATATTGCTTAAATTCGCGCCATTCAGAATGTTGTTGGCGTCGATATTGCTGGACTCTTATTGCGTAATAAGGATACTTATCCTTACGACGCGAATAAGTTCAGATCTCAGGATGTAGGACGCAGAGAATCGCAAATATCGCAACGTTCTGGAGCAACGGGCAGCGACGGAAGTACCCAGGATATTTCAGCGTTATCCGAGAAAACTGAAACCAAGCAACGAAAAACCGTAGAACAAATAACAGATGAATTCAGAGATACGTTACTCTATGGACGGGTTCAAGAAGCATTAGGTATTTAAAAAGGCTTTATTTTTTTTCTCGTTAAACGTTATAAATGTTACTAATTTTTTCTTTTTACTTACCTGTAATAGAATACGCGATGAACGAAGGACTTTGGGGCCATGCTCTCTTCCTGGCTAGTAAACTGGATAAACGCACGCATGCTTCTATAATGACTCGTTTTGCAAACAGTCTGCCATCACACGATCCACTGCAGACCTTGTATCAACTGCATTCTGGTCGTATACCTGCTATAGTTACGGTAAAAATTATGTTTCTGTTTTAATAACTGATCAAATTATTCACGCTTTTTCGTCATGATACTAATTGTTCATTTCTTTTTTTCTGCAGTGCGTCGCGGATCCGCGCTGGGACGATTGGCGGCCTCATCTAGCTATGATTATATCTAATACCTCGACCAATCCAGAAGTTAATCGCCGATCAATAACGACTCTCGGGGATACATTATTCGCGAGGGGCGACATCCATGCCGCACATTTTTGTTACATACTCGCACAAATTGATTTCGGCGTTTACGGAACTAATGGAGTTAAACTCGTGTTGATCGGCGCTAATCACAACAAGTCTTATTCTGAATTCTTTACCATGGAAGCTGTCATGTTAACAGAAATTTATGAGTACGCTCGGAACCTTAATGATCCGCATTTCACATTAGTAGACCTTCAAACATTCAAATTTGATCTAACTGTGAAGATGGTGGATTGTGGATTAATAGAAAAAGCTTTATTGTATATCGAACAGATTGCAATAAATATCGCGAACGATCCATTGAAATACAAGAAATCCTTCATCGAAGCGGTTTATGTATTAGGCGACCGAATCAAGTATCACGATCCAGTCTATAAGGATGCTATCGAAGATGCTGCGAATGTTACGTGGCTTAATAGATTAGCGGAGATAGTTGGAAAATATCAGGTCATTATGTGATTCTTTTACGAGAAATGATATTTAATTTTACGTTAATGCAAATATTAAATAGAATTCTGTTATAGGATGAACAGGCTGTCGAAGATAAAACATACGGTTCTCGTACTATGATAGAAAATCAGGAAATTCATGAAGTAAAACATCAACAACAGCAACCATCGCAACTACCACCACTATCATCACAACAACAATGGAACACTGTCCAATCCGATTATAATGACGGGCCTACGTCGATGATGGAAGTTAACACGAGTGAAATGCAATCAGATTGGCAACCATTATCTTTGCCCACGAACATTCAAGATACATATGATCCGAATGCGCAATATATGAGAAACGTAGACGAACCTGTTCAATATCAGCAGTCGCAACAACAGGATTATTGGAGCCAGCAATCATATTATCAAAATAATTATGGAAGAAACGAATCTATACAGTCTAATTGGCAGCAACAGTCTGCACCAGGCTTAACTGATCAGACTGAAGTAACTAACTCGCAACAACAAGACAAATGGAACTATGAGGTATATTAAAAAGTAGCTATAACTTTATTACACCATCTTTTAATACAAAAATTTAATCATTACACGTTTCTTCCTCATATATTATCTTCGCATTCATAAAATTTATATAATTTTTATATCACTTTCGTATTTTCATCTTTTCATGAATATCGATTTTTTACAAAAATGATATATCTCAATTTTGTTCATAATTTTTTACATTATTTACCATAAAGCATTGCGATTAATCATAGACTTATATAATAGATTGTACGCTTCCATTGGAAACGTGAAGACAACATTAGTAACATAGGGCAATATTTGATTAGATGCTCTGTCACATAATGCACAATTGAACAAAGAAAGTATATTCAATAACTATTGCTTTTTCTTACTATTGTTGTCCTCATGTCTCCAATGGAAACGTACAGTCTAGTATATAAGTCTATACAATTAACATTTTTCACCTGTTTTCTTTAATGCTTGCTCACCGACAGACGGAAAGGGAAGACAAAACACCCACACCTGAAGTAAGTAATTGCGGACTTACCTCGGATAATATTCTCGATCCTGAAAGATTATCAAATGTTGCCGGTATTAATTTGCTACGCCGTCGAAATGTGTCTGTAAAATCAAATCCGTATATCGCCTCTGCATTTGATGATAATACTCCTGGTCATGTACCTACATTCTTTAATCTGTCTAGTGATAATCTCGATGTGAAAGTTCCAAATTCTCATAAGAAATATCCCAAATTGACTACGAGCTATCCAAAAATTTTACCAAACAAAGTACACCCAAAAGATAGGAAACAGAGACGCGTCGATCCTATATTTTCGAAACCACCGTGCTCGCAACCACCGGTGTTCCTAAAATGTAAGACTAAGAAAAAGAATCCGTCCGAGGATAAAGAAGAAACGGCGCCAGACAGACCAGATAAGGGAAATTTATCCGTGTCTCAAACTACAGATCTAGATATTCAATTTAGCAAATTGAAACTCGAGTCTCTTTTAGCGTCGGACTTATCTTTCGAAACCAAAGAGAGTCATGTTACTTTCAGTAACGAAGCACAAACCTTAAAACAGTATTGTAATTTCGAGGAGAAGAAAGTTATGAGAGTTGCACCGCATATTCGTAGAAAGGATGTTATTTGCGATACGGTAGATGCGTGGTCGTACGATAGTACCGGGCAAAATATTTCCGAATCATCCAGATATAAGCCACTAGTTTTCGGTGGCACATATCCGATTGATTTACCTCTTAGATTTAGAAATAATAATCGTCTAGTCGATGATACTTCTGCTAAGAATAGTACGTCTTTAACTTATGACATTGATATGCCCACAAAATGCGACTAAAAAATAATCTGTAAGCGTATAGAATTGTGGCCAAGTTTTTCTGTACATGTTAAACACAGAGATAAGATGTAATAGTAATTCTATATCGAGATATAGAATATCTATATCGATAGATATAACTGGATTTTCTTCAAGTATTAACAAAAAAAATTTTTTTAAATCTGGCAATACATAATTTTTATAATATAGTAAATAATATTTTTAAATATTTAAAAAAATTATTGAAAATCAGAATTATCAATTTATATACTTGATTGTGTTCATATATTATCTTAAAAGTCAAATTTTTACATGTTATATGAAAAATATTCAAATACTAATGAGGAAAGAATCCATATGCTGTGATGAAATAGAGATATAAAGAATCCTGTTTTGTGTCATTAATTAATATTATGTAATTTTACAAAGTTCTAATATTTTAAGTGTTGTTTAAATGTATATATATCTATTGTTATTGTTGGCATCAAACGCATAATAAAGTTTTGTCATATAATGCATTTCCTTGAACTTCTTATAAGATTATAAACACAATTTATTATATAAAGGTGTAGGTTATTGCATATACAGATATCGTAGATTTCAAACTTAGTAAATTCATTAAAATGATTAAAAAATAGTTAATGTGGATTTAAAAAACTGATCTTGTCACAAAATTAAAAATTATTTCCACAGAGTTTAATACTTACCGCATGTCCTCTAAGTTCTAAATCCTTTTTTTTAATAATTTATCTGCATTTTTTGCGTTTATCTGATTTCTAAGATAATATGATTTTGTTCTTAATATCTTTCTGATTGTACATTTTGAACGACCAACATTTCAACATAGAACGACATCATTCCTAAAATAAATCTGGTAAGCAAAGTTTTTCATTTTTTACTGTAATACATTTGTGAGTATCGCATATTTTTTAAGTATTTTGTAGAGTGCGATTAAAACTTTTAATTAGCATGTGATAGGCGAACTCGCATCATTACAGTAAATAGTGATAAACTTTGCTGGAACAAGTTTGCGATGATCAATCGTATATTTTATTTCAGCCTGTGCAGCCAACAATCTCTATGACACCGTCAACGGGTAAACAGTATGATCCATTGGAAGAATTAGATGCGCTTGAGACACCACGACAGACTGCTAAATCTGCGGTGGATACGAAGAAAATAACCGAAAAAACGGCTGAAAAGAAACCTTCCAACAGTGGTGGCTCCTGGTTCGGTGGTTTGTTCAGTAAACTCGCGCCCAAGCCGAAAAACCAAATGATATTGCCGGACGATAGCAACCCAACGGTAAGAATTTGCCACTGCTTTGTATTTTCCTCCAGCTCATTAAAAAATTACGACGGACGGTTTTATGTTTTATGTCGTTAAGGGCTTACGCGGATACTTTTGGTAATAGAATGCTACTTATGGTTACAACAATGCTTATAAGATGGACGATAAACAGGCCAGTATAATGCTAGGGTTTATTGAGTAACTGTTGACTAACAAGTTGCTATTAATACTTCTCTAATTTGTTAGCTAGATTTTTTCCTAACATACGAACGTCAAACAGTGGAGAAAAAGTTGTTAGTGAAATCGTGTAATTAACTCTGTCGTCTTTTGTATTACAGATTGTATGGGATCCAGTTGCTAAAAAGTGGATGAACAAGGATGAGGATGGCGACAGCGGTACCACGACATTGGCCCCACCGCCGAAAACAGACATGAGTTTCCGAGCGCCGGCAGTGGAGCGCGTTCCACAACCGTCTTTACCGAGTGCACACAACGAGGATACATCAGCGGCGGATATTTCGAAATTGCCTACTGGTAGTAATATGTATAAACTGCAAAGGGGTAGGAGTATGCGTGCCAACTACGTAGATATAATGAATCCCGGTGGAAAATCTAAAGGTAGCGCGGCGTCGTCTAATGTGGCCACCCCCATGACGTCTCCACTCGTACCTATAGCTACCTCATCCCCGCAGGTGTTGGTACCCGCGCCAAGTAAGTCATCGAATTTCTAAACTTTAATTCTCTTCGATTTTATTCATGCGAATTTGAGTCTTAGCTTATTTTTCTCTGCATTTGAAAATATAATAATTAAAGACAGCGAAAAATTGAATGAATAAAATACTTGAGAATTCAAAAACATAACATGAGAGTTGAAACGTTAAAAAACAATTTGTCCGAAAGTAATGTTGCCTTTATTATGATAGTTAATGATCCAACCGCTCCTGTGGATTTCTTGACTCCTGCAGCAACACCGCCGTCTGGAAATATCGCGGAAAATACCCCAGTAAGTGCCACGTAATACACACTTGTGTGGTTTCACGAATATTGAATTGTAAACGTATTATCGACGCCAAACTATATATTTACAATACAACTTCACACACACACACACGCACACATCTGTGTGTTTCTTCTTATTAAACTTTACATTACACAATACATTTGTTGTCCTTTGCGTTGTGGCTGCAATTTTCTGGTATGCAGCTTAGCCTTTGTTTCAGCGTGTTTCTGAAACCATAACGTTACATAACGAATTTTTTTTGTACGTTCCCTACACAATCATTATGATGAACAATCTGTACACTCATTCCCCTAGTTTTGCAAATCGTGTATTTTTCTCAAAAGTATTTTTTCATGATATCCTTGAATTGATCGTATTTATTAATCTATATATACAGTAATTATATGTTCATTGGCGATCAATCAGTAGAAATTTTTCACAAAATGTTTATGGACTAGACTGCTCCAGCACTATGCCAGTTTCTCCTACAAATCGCTAAAATGATCAATGTTATTAATAGCATTAATTAAAATACTCTTTTATTGCTTCCTACATTTCATTTTAATGACAGTGATATTCAATTAGATCTCTCCACTTGCTACAGATTCTTTCTTTTACCTGTGTTTAATCTTACCTTTCTTTTTGTGTTTCTTTATGCAAGCAGTCGGGGAAGCAGAATGATGTAGCCAAATAATAATTATTACTCATAGTAAGGATATTGATTTTATTAATTTTTACATATCATTATTTGATGTTTTACGCACACGCTTTCTTCTTACCCACCGCTTCGTGGAAATGTACATATACCTATGTAGCTTTCTTGCATAAGAAAAGGAAGGCTGTATTGCATTTCATAATTAAAACTGATTATTAACATCTTATATAGCCACCAATGATTTAATACTTTGCATGTTTATATTATTAACATTATTGAACAATAGAATGAGCGTATCTTCCTTGTGATTACGAATGGTTTTATGTAATGCACATCCTCTGTAAAATATCTCTGTAAAAAAATCCAATAATCATCTGTGTACTCATACTGTGACCAAAGCATGAAAGTCCTTTCTACTTTTTGCTGAAATACGGCAGTTACGCTGTGATACACGAGAACATAAATATCGTAATACCGATTTTCACGTTGTGATGTGAGAGAGAGCCTTACGCTTTGTTAAACAAATTCGTTGAAACGCTATTTTTTAGCTATGTCTGCTAGCATAAGTGCAACGTGTAATCGTGCATAAATTGGTATTACACTCGTAAACATATAAGATAAGACTAGCTAATCACAAGCGACGTGGCGAATATCTGTTAGTGAGACAACGTTATTGTATTGTGTATGGTATATAGCTCTCTCGCTGGAGCTCGACCAGCTCGTTATCACGAGAGGTGCAGAGCTACACAATGAGGGATCCGCGGCTCCTTCAACGGAACAAGGTAATCCAATGGCATTAACTTCTCCCGCATTTCCAAGGTGACCACTTTCCAAAATATTACTACGAAACATACTATGGTACGAGGGATTATGCTAGTACGATTTTTTTGTCTTCTAATCAGTTTGTCCATGTGTCAAGCAAGATTCTTATCACTTAACGCTACTTACTAAAACTAGCTTACGCTTATCAATCATCATCAATCGCTACTTTTCATGAGATCTTTAATAATAGAATCGTGGGAAAACTTGGTAAAGGATTTCAAATGCAGGTTTTGTAAAATAACTTTACACGTCATTCGGTTACTTTTACTTTTGTTATTTGTTAAGATATATATATGTGTATATAACTGTTCCAGCTTATGTCTTATCTTTTTGCGCACTGTAAATTACAAATGCGCGGTTACATATTTTTAACGAAGGATAAGGATTTAAAAAAATATATGTTCCCTTACTGCTTACATACAAACTATAGTTAATACGAATAATTTTAAAATAAAAAATTGCGCAAGCTCGAAAATTGGAGGACTTACACTTTTATCTCTAGTATGTTATTACATAAAACTATTAACTTTTTATTAATTTTATGTACTTTAAACCAAGGACATTTTCTAGGGACCAATGATGTTCAACCCGAGTGACATGAAGGATCGTTCGGTGAAGAACATGCCACCTAGCAGATATCATCCACGATAATTTTTTGCAATCGCTCATGAGAATAATTTGTTATTTAAATTAGGAAGTTTCTTATATAATTGCAGTTGTATTTAATGTGAATATCTGTTCTTGTACAAAAAAAACGTAACAACAATAGTATATTTTTAGAGTGATGCACGGTGCATACAGTCTCTTTCGAAAGAATGTGTATGACGTAAGAATCCAGAAGATATACGTCTTTTTATACGCACTTCACATATTCGAATTGTCTAGATTAATTTTTACATTTGAAATTCTGTTCGAGTTTGTTATATTTATCATATCGAATTAAATATTACGTTAAAATTTATTTAGAAGGAGATTCCCACGCGGAATATAGGAAATATAGAAGACAATTTAGCAATTGCAATGGTGGCGTAGATAAATTGTACCCGAGCACGTATAATGATTTGTAAACTAAGTTTTCATTGTACACTTTTCAATTTGAAAGAATATGCTCCTTTCAGATTAATTCTCACGGAATGTTATTTCGTGTACAGTGTAATGAATTTATTTGAAAGTTACGCACCGATTTCTGTTTTTATTAAATACGTATTTCCATCAGATGGTTACTTATGTATTTGCTAATAGTTAATCATCGTTTTGGAAGTGTGCGAGTGCATTCCCGTTACTACGTTCGTTTAGCTTGTAAGTAAATTGTCACCGGTACCGAATTCGATGTTACGCGAAGATTCAAGTTCTGCGAACTCGAATTATGTGAGTGAGATGTAAAGTTAATATTTTTACGTGCAACCTGTAATCGGAGATCTATCTAAGTTAAAATTATATAAATAATCTCTCGCTTCGAAGTGTCTTGTAAATGTGTGACGATAGAGAGAGGATTGTACGCTGATTATATAGTTTAACTATATCGCAGAACTTGTTACAACACGGCCTCAGTATGTGCTGTAATTCTAAGTCTGATTTTATATGTACGGAGGAGAAGAGAGTATTGTGGTGCCGATAAATACAAGATGTTAGGGATATGAGAATTTTATCGAGGGTAAGGGGGAAAATAACGCATTAAGTGTATGATAGGAATACCGTTGTTAGACGTCGGGCTTATAATATTACGAGATAACATTGATACACCAATAAATACGCAACTGCCATCAACGTACGGATAGTGTGAGATGAGTAACGAGTTTGTATCGCGTTTCCACTGGTTCAATCGCATTAGATTTGTAAAATAATGTTGGTGTCTATCTCCGCGAAGAATTTGATAGTTGCAAGTATTGATAAGGACAGTAAAGGATCCTAGCAAAGAATAGGCAGACGGTTTTGGTGTACGTTGAAATGTCTCTATCGGAAAATAAATGTCCTGGAAGATATATATTTTTCGGTGAAGAGTGAGTACCTTTGCAAGTAAAGGCTTTTTACTGGCTCAATCTATCGTCGCCTTGCGCTTCGTCCTATATAGATACTGTTGATCGTTCAATTTTAGAATCTTTCGTTGAAAATATTATAAATTATGACGGTTCGTCTCGATTTTTCTCGCTGATAAATGTCCCGTAATATTGTCAAGTAAGATTGAGAAACTCTTCATAGAGTATTTCGGAACGGTAGCAAATTTCTGACGCATAGATATCCATTGACCACAAATAGAAGGGATTGGTTCTAGGGATAATTTTTGTAAATTGTGACACTCGTAATACATTTTATATCTGTGACATACGAATTAGGTATATCTTAGATGCATATATTATAATATATTATGATATTATAATATATATGTTACAATACACATGTTGATACTGTTGCAGAGATGCCGCGTGTAAGTTTTATATATATATATATGTATACGTGAACTCTAGATTTGTACATATTCTAAATGTAGCTTTCGTAAACTTGTCCTATCGCAATTGTTTATATATAGAGAATTCGCGCTTGTTTTTTAAATACCGAGACATAGAAATGGATCCCGTGTTATACCTTCGCCGAAATGTAACCAGAGGTTCTATTTGTGGTGAATGGCAGCTTATTGCGACCAACATCACCGTTAGTCATACAGTTGATCGACGATAAACTTTCGTTGAGAAATCTATGCAATCGTTACAGCTGAAATATGCATGTTTCTAATCCTTACACACGATCGAGCTTTAAGTTGAGAATTCGAGTGGCGATGCAGAATGTGCAATTAAACTATTGTCTCTTTTTCTTATTATTTACCATCGTTTGCTCGCAAAAAGCTCGAAAAATATTAATGTAAAATGCGAATGCGGTTGGCTCTCGCTCGAGATAGAGCTCAAAATGGTGATATGTCGCAGCGGAACGGCGAGCGAGAAGAAAAGAGGATTTTAAGATTAGCGTTAAAGTTGAACAGAAGTATTAATCGAGCTGTAATTGTAATGTATGTATAGGCCGGTTTATGGAGCGATGCGATTTCGTCTTTGATGTAACATATTGCTATATACTGTTCACGCACTCTGAAATTCCGAGTTGATGTAAGTTTATGGAGAATAAAATTGCGGATTACAATGATAATAACAATAGTGATAATCTATACTGTATATTATTAATATTAGGATTCATTGTCATAATTATAACTATTAATATTATAATAATAAAGAATAATACACAAATTAAAAGATATTACATCAGTAATTACTTAGCAACTATTAGAGACGGGAATGCGTGGGGAGGGGGTGAACAATCGAAGACGCCGTTGTATTTTTCGATCCTTTTATTAAGTTTATCATAATGCTTCGAATCGATACAATGATTTCTGTGGTATACTGTCGTCTTTCGGGCCACAACGTCGACGATCGTCTCTCCCGCGCACGGACGTATGTGCCTCTGAGATCATCATACACGAAAAATGCGTATACGAAATCGGCGACCGGCGGACGCCGCGCGGTGTATTTCCGGTGTGTAATATGCGAAGTGAGTAGGCGCGCTCTCGCGTTGTCGAAACACGAAGAAATCAATCCAAAAATATCGTCGTCTCTGTGGGCGCGACACCGGGGATCATCGGGCAAATTGGTCGAGTCGGGCAGACGGTGGAACGGGGGGAGGGGAGGGTGAAGGAGCGAATTACAGAGAGGGGTGATACGGTTGCTCTTTAAGCGACGACAGTTAACGCCGTGACACCGATGACACTTTGAGAGGCGAAAAAAAAAAGAAAAGAAAGAAAAAGGGGGGAGGGGGGAAAGACAGTTAAATGCAGTTTAACAATCAGCGTTCTTATCAGCGTACACGTCGAGCGTGTACTCTCGTTATTTCTACATCTTCTGCCTCCTTTTTTTCCTCTCTCTCTCTCTCTCTCTCTCTCTCTCTCTCTCACTCTCACTCTCCGCTGTCGCGTGTAGACGGAAGTCGGAGAGGGTGATGGGGGTGGCGGGCGAAGGAGAAACGGAGAGACCCGGGACGTCGAGGGTGGAGAAGGATGAGGAGGATAAGGGGAGAGGAAGAGAAGAGCGCACGAAGGATATAAATATATAATAATATCTTATACCGCGCGTATTTTCGTAAAGTACGCTAAACGTTATTCCTTTCTCGTCAATCTCACTCGCGCGCAGCACACACACTCTCTTTCTCTCTAGCTCTCTCGCACGTCGCGTCGGTATTATCGATCTGTATTTCTTTTTTTCCTTTTGTTATCGTTTCATTTATTAAATGTTAGAGTAGAGCCTATAAAGGGACGCCCGGAGGCGCGCTCACAGCGAACCCCGGGCGCGCTTTTTTTTTTCTCGTATACTAGCTGTGCCGGAACGCACTTGTACTGGTCGCACGATCGGCGAAGGATTCGGCTAAAGATGGCCGTGGCTGTCGAGACCGAGATCGTTATACGATATTTTAAACGTTGCGTGTTTAAAAAGATAAACAGCGAATTCAGATACGTCTCGAAAACGAGGGAGTCCAGATCGTGAGGTTGGATCCAAACTGTGCACGAATGAGCGCGAATAAACACGAGCGAATTCTAGTTCAACTTCAAGGGACATAGTTAGATCTTTTATCGTTAGGGTAGAGCACGGATTCTTGCATAACGCATAAGGTACAAGAAAATCAACCCCAATCGGAGTCTCTTATTTCATGGAAAAGGAGATGAAGGGCTTTGATTGGTTCATTTCCTTATGCATTATGCAAAACTGTCCCTCTCTCGTTCTTAGGTTGAAGAAAAAAATGATCGTTACACTCGTTCGTTGCAAACGTTCGCTCGCAATCATTCGTTCTTGCTAGCCTGGATCATCTGGATTCACACGATGAACATACGCGAGTTGCACAATAATCCGTATTTTATCGCTAAAGGTTTAACGTTCGAACCCGGACAGGGTTTCGATTGAAATAAGGAAGAAGGTGAATCAATAAAAGGACGAGAAGAGAGAACTGTATTCGGCAGCCAATCTTTAGCCGAGCGATTCGCTCGCGACATATTATTTAACAACAGAGTTTAACCACCTAATCGCTCGGAGGATACTCGTAACTTCCCATCTTCGCCTCGGCTTTGTTTATACAGTGAATAGGATATAAAGATCCTTTTTTTTTTCCTCATTTTTACCTACATGCTAGGCAATAAATGATCCAAATCTGCAATTCGTTACGATAATCAAATCGATAAACGATAAACGGAAAGAAAGAAGGCAAAAAAATTCCAAGGTGTGAATCGTTTGAAAAAAAAAAAATGAAAAAACGTACATCTCTCTTTTTCTCTGTCTCGAGTCGACGATAAACTTTAATAACCCATAGATACTTATTATCATCATAATGATACAATTACAGTTCGCGATTATCACAATGCGAGAACCGCCAATAATAATAGTAATAATAATAATAATATCAATGATAATAATAATGGCAATAATATAATAATTAAAAATAATCTAGTTAATAATAACTAATAATAATAATAATAATAATCTTCGCCATACTAATTACCATCGTCATTACAATGATTCATTTAGCCGTTATGGTTGCCTATATACTATCCTCTTTTATATATACTTCTATATATATAGCTACAATATATAATATTTTCGTGTTGAAAAATCGTATACATTAGTGTTGTGTCGCAGGACCATTGCTTCTGTCTCTCTCGCTCTCTCTCTCTCTCTCGCTTTCTTTCTCTCTTTCTCGTTCATTCTCGCACCTTTATTTCTCTCAATGCGTCTGCTATGTATCATTCCGCGTTCCGCTATATATTTCTTTTGCTCTTGATGGATCGCAGATGAGAAGGGTAAGAAGGGGAGAAAAACACTGTCGTCGATGGCTGGAAGCATTCGTGTCAATGTAAAGTCTCCAAGTCGAAAATTCGGAGAGAATTGCAGATCGCGGAATACTGCTCCGGAGCGAATCGCAGACTCCCTTTTCTTTCTCGCGCAGGCCGTTTATAGGACGTTTCGCGCGCGCATTAACTCCGCGAACGCGGCTCTTCGCTTCGTAAAAAGCTTACAAATATTCGATGCGACGTACTCTCTGGCAAGATCGCGAGATGCACGACGTTTCTCGACATCCGTCGAGGTGGAGATCCCGATTCCGAGAGCGACGAAGGTCTCGAGTCTCTCTCGGTCGACATTATTAATTAACGTAACGCGGAGAATTGAAAGAAACGAAGGAAAGGAGGAAACAAAACGCGCGCACGAGTAGAACCTCGAATTGTTGATATCTCGCGGTTCTTCTTTCCGTCGAGAGCTTATCCGTATATCCGCGGGCGAGAAACGGCGTCCGAAGGGAAGGCGAATCAGATGGAAATCTTGGGCGATTTTAGGCGAGAACACGAGTGCCTCCAGACACGAGCGCGTTACGTAATCTTAATAGCTTAATATCGATTTTTAGTTCGTATTACTCGCCGTTCAAAGGCGAGCCTCGGATCACAGATAGTGAGGTGATCGGATTGCGCGAGCGTTATTCGCGATAACAACGCGGTCTCGTATTCGTATTCTTTTCTGCTTTCTCTCTCTCTCTCTCTCTCTCTCTCTCTTTCTCTCTCATTCTCGCACTCACACATACACGCACGCAAGTTCTCTCTCTCTCTCTCTTTCGCTTTCTTTATTTTTTTTTTATTTTTAAGTTTGTCAGTATGCGTTCTTCCTGCGTTTCTCCTAAGGATTTCAAGGCGACAGCTCCTGAAAGCAAACAGCATCCGGCATCGTGTACGCGCGCGAATTCACAGTGGCGTGAAAAAAGATCGTCCGAGAAGATTCGCAAGAGGGACCTCTATCTCTCCTCGTCGTCGGAAACGTTCTCGCAAACGATTCCGACTCGATGCAGACGTATACATCCGCGGCGAACGAACTGTTTCGTTTATCCAGGAAAAGTATCCGGGTGTCCCGACTTGTCCTCAGGCAACTGTGCACGCGCGCGCGCTCACGTATCTTTCTCTTTTTTTTTGTTCATTCGAAACGCAATCCTCGTGTGTCCTCTGCTCGGTTCGTTACAACAAGAGATCTCTTTTCCCGCCGCACGCGGAGTGGCGTGCGAGGTATACAGATATAGGAAAGTATAGAATGTATATATAATATATATATTTTTTATACACATGTATATATATACGTATACACAATACATATGTACCTATGTACGTACGGCCAACTAAGGGTAGACAGGCGCAATCACGTGTCGAGTCGAATCCGATTGATCGGCCGCGCTTAGGATTTTTGTCCGTCGACGTCATGAAAACCGGACAATCGACTTCTCTTTTTTTTTTTACAAGCCTTTTTCGCTGTCGATTTCGGATTCAACATTCTATATGTGTGAGGGTGTGTATGTGTGTTGTGTCGTGGGTGATAAAATCGATAAAGACGAAAGGATAATTGGAGAGAAACAAATTTAATGAGACTTTCGTGCTCGGTAGCGCAATTACAAAAAAAAAAATGGGGATGGAAGGGAAAATTTAAGCGATTCGTTCGCGGAAATACAGTCATGCACATCAATTTTCCAACGCAATCGCAATCCTTGGTCAATGCCCCGCCGTTGTCGAATTCGAGACGGGAGCGATTAGAAATAGGCCAATAGGTTCGGAACTCCGAGCCAGTCCGAGCTATGTCGAAGTTTTCTACGGTGGAGACATATGCGTGTTCCAGGAACTTCGATTCTTGGGAACGTATCTCGAGAGCAAATTCTAAGAATTCTCAGAACTTTTTTATATTAGAGTCGTCCAACTGTTATTGACACAAATATATAATCAACGCAAGTTTAAGAATCGACTTTTAGGCCGGTATTCATAGTCGGTTCTTATATTTAAGGACAGTC